TGCTTTCAAAACACTGGTAATGTCATGTTCCGTAAAAGTAAAGTCTGTAAACTTCGAGCAGTAACGTTTGTGTTACATTCACCGTTTTGGGCTTGATGTATTTTGATATATATGAATTGAATAATCAGATGGCTTTATTAGCAGGGCGAAACTCTAGCAGTTTCCCCTGCTAATTTCCTCTATTCCTCAATACAAGGGCATTTTACAGTATGAATTGACATATAATTTACATCTAGTTTTAGCTGTCTGCCTCATCCTAGATCTTTAGTTACATGTATTGGCAACACTTTTGTGTCTATGGGTTTGCAATTCAACACTGTTGCAACACCAAAATGACGAAAAGGTGTGTTTTGAATTTTTAACTGAACTTGTACAATGGCTCATAAATTATATGCATGTCTGAGTTTTGCGCGCTCAGTTGTTGTGGGATTGTCTCCTGTTTGTGATTGTCCCCTGTTTGACAATATGTCACTTGAATTATGAATAATGGTTTTTATTTGAGAGGTCTGTGGACATCCCAAAACATATTATTTTCTTGTTTTCTTACCTATTTCATTAAAAAAAAAATCACTTTTAATTAGGGGAAACGTATTCTATTTGCTTTAAAGGTACACAATGTAACTTCTCTGATGGGGATCACCACTTGTCATGTTTAAAGATAATCCAGGGTTTTCAGAGTGCGCTCTCACTTTTCTGTTTTATTTCATTTCAACATGTGCCCAAATTTGGTTCTGTTCAATTTTAGCCATTAGGTGCATTATTATTATTATTATTTATTTTTTCACAAACTTGCCATACTATTCCAATGTCTGAAAGTCCGTTCTTCGATCTTACATGTGTTATTTGACTTCTAGACACCTTTATGTGAAAATAGTTAGACCACAGTAAGTAGGTACTGACTACTGGGTAGGCAAAGAATATTTGTAACTCAAAGTAAATAACACAACCTATCCATAGTCCAGTTTTAGTTATTGGTTTAATCTCAGTTTGGTCAAATTACTGTTTGGGTTTTTTGTAATTGTGAGTGTACTCAAAGTTTCATCTTTGGCTTGGTTGGATATGTACAGTATGAGGAACAAAGCCTCAATCTAAACTTTTCAAAACTTATACAAAGCTTTGAATTATTTCCCCTTATACAGATGTTGTTTTCTTTTCCCCCTTTCAAACTCAAAGGAACACACTCTCGCTGGCAGGGACACACGCAGCCTCTCTATTCATTTCCACATTTGCCAGTTTCGAATGCGTTATTGTCCTCCCCATTGTCTTTGTACTACGCACTTGGAAAACCATCTATAGGTTTGTCTTATGAGTTCTCGCACAAAGCAAACACCTCAGCAGAAGTACCTCGGCTGGAGTGGTTACAGCTAGACGGTAATTAAAAACACACAAAATTGGATCGGCGCCAAAGATGATCATTCTTACCAGCGAAAAAGGCTTGTGGCCCAAAAGTAAATGACACCGCTTATTGCAATGGGGAAGTTATTACGCACACATTTGTTCTCCTCGAGCAGCCGCAGCCAGGTTCTGTTGTTTTGAAGTCTTGTGCGGCGCAGGAATAAAATGCATTTTCAGAGTCCCCCAGGTCGCGTTCATATTACTCTAGTATCATATTACTCTAGTATCATATTACTCTAGTATCATAAGTTCAAGTTGTCTTTATTGTCCCACTAGGGGAAATTGGTTTTGCAGCATAAATCATCTAAAAAAAACAGGCAGATACAGTAAAATCACAACATTGAGAAAACAAGAACAAAAGAGAATGTCACAAAACAAATTTTCAGCGCAAAGGTTTGTAAAAGTGCTATGTGCTGTTAAGGTGCTTCACAGCTGTTGGGATAAATGTAGTTCCCAACCGTTTTGTCCTACAGCCAAGAGCCCTATAGCGTATTACTCTAGTATCATATTACTCTAGTATCATTTTCAAAACATCTTTTGTAAGGAGGGGGGGCGGAAAATGTTTTCTTCTACCTTAGGGGGCCAGGCAGAAAATAATTAAGAAGACCTGACATCTAACCAACAGCTGATGGAGTGAAAGAAGACCATCAACATATTACAATACAAACTTCCTTTTTCCGATACATAAACTTGCTCCCCACAGTTGGCAGATGCCAGACACATACTTTGTGCTTAAAGTAAGACTTCCTGTGACTCAAGCGGGATATGCGCTTGCATATTTTGACAATGATTTGTGCTGAAGTCACTGACATTAGCCCAGTATCCTTCAGGACGTAGTGACACCAACCCATCAGAGAGCAGGCCGTCCGTCTCCCTCATCCCTCCATCCAACAGCGCATTAAAGCTGTTCCTCAGTGAAATCACCAATAGCACGGCCATACGTCCTCATGTCATGTCTGGGAGACTTCTATTTTGTAGATAAATGTGCCGGCCGGGTTCCACAGAGCTGGAGTGATTGAGGACATGACCACAAAGACTCCAAACCGACTTTAATAATAGTTTCTGAAGGCTTTAAAATTGATTACTTTGCTTTTAAAATATAAATTAGCAATTGTGGGTTCATGTTTAAGTCTGCAGGAGCCGAGCTTTCGAAAAATGATTCAGACGGCATCCGAATAGTATGCATATTCGGATGTACTGAATGCGATTTCCCGGATGAAACATTTAGAAGTCAGCAATATGTTGGATACTGGATCATAAGGTTTTCAGTGATTTGAACCTCAATTTTCAGTTTATTGATTTCAAAACTAACAAAATGAGTTAAAAAAATCAAATTGAAAATATTTGTTGTTAAAGTGATTGTCAGAGAGTTTGTCAGAAAGAGAGACAGAGAGGTACTTGATTTGAAAGTACCTCTGATTGGTACCTCTGATTGGTCTACACCTACGTTTCCGTAACACTTTGAAATGTTAATCAGAGAACACATAATACATATACATTATTAATACACATGCACGGAGGTTTTCAGAATTATCTGTTAATGGTTTAATGAAAAAAAGAATGTTTTTATGCACACAAAAAAACGATCGCGGCAAACCCGGAAGTGCTATTATCATGAATTGCACATTATAGGACACATCTGCAGAGGATCTGATTATGGATATAGGTTCAGTATATACATAAGTACTTCAGCGCGGATGTTCAGAATTCTTTGTTCAGTTTTCATGTAGTTCCAGAGCCTAATAGAGGCTTGATTCGGAGGCTCCGTGAAAACAAACAACTGCGCATGCGTGCAGCTGCGAGCATCAGCGCCGATGTTTGACAGCCCTTGGCATGACTCGATTGATTAACCTCGACGGCATCATGGATTCTGAACTATAGCTAAGAGCAGGGAAATTATTATTATTATTAGAAATAATAAAATGACTTATTTTATGTCATCATTTAAGGCCAGGAGGTCAATTTAACACATTTCCTAAAATTTGTAATTCATTTAGAGTTACAGACTATCACTTTAAATCAAGGTTTTTTTCAGAATTATGTGCAGTTGTAATTCTTGCTTTTAAAATTTAATGACACTATGATTGTACACCGTAAGAGTTGCAGGCAAGTAAAAAGAAAGAAAATACTTTAATTATTGTTATTATTGTCATTGAAAAGTGCAAATAAGACCTGACAATGCAATTAGAGAAAGAATGGTCTCATGTTTTTTTTTTTAATAGACAAAATGTATTTTTGAGATCATACGATGTAATTGTAGTCATGTTGTGGATATGTGTTATTTTAAACTTGATTCATTTTGTTATCTTCCGTCTTCTGTCTGAGTTCTACTACCTGTTCCATTAATTATTATGCTCCATCATAATGTGTTTCACGTGTGTGTGTGAGTGTGTGTGTGTGTATTTAATCCCTGAGCCCCTCTCCTCTTCTTGCCGTCCCTTATGTATCCCACGTCTCGGCCAATTCAATTCAATTCAATACAGTTTTTGCCAAGCCCTAAATCACCACAGCATTTGTCTCTGAGGACTTTACTTTAAGTTTTTGCTTTGCCAACAACAAATTAGAGAATCAAACAGTTCAAACGCAGGAAATGGAACCATAACAAACACATTGGAGTGCATATGACCACTTTCCATGAATGCTATTATATGTCCTGACTTTATTTTTTAGCTCTGGAGTTTTTTACTTTTACCCTGGATTAGGTTTTATTTTATTAAACTTCACTTTCCTTTGCCGTCTTGAATTGCAGGTTTCTTTTTTATTTATTTTCATGGCACAGACAGGAAGTTAATATCGTCGGCAGGGATTGTAACTTGCAGACTACATGCAAAGTCTTAAAACATTGAACAAATATCGCATAACTTTGTCTCTGTAGTGTAAGCAGAACACACAGTTAGTTTATCCCGTAGTTGACCCTGTTTCCCCCTGAAACAGTGGGGGTCTGGCAGCCGAGACGTGTTCTCATAATGTGTCTTAATTGTGGTCGGTGTCAGTGAAGTCTCCCCTGTGTGAGCCCATCCATATTTCATGAGTTTAATCTAAGCAGGAGTAATATGGTTCTGATGTGTGCCGGGTTGTTTGACGTCGGTGCAGTCGGGTATAGTTTTTTTTTTTCTCTCTCTCTCGTTTTTAGCCTGGTGGCACAGGGATGAGCTAAGCGGAGAATTTGACACAATGCCCCAGGGATCCCTCCGCTGTGAACTTCACGTCTAATAATGATGTGGATGTGTCGCAACTCGGAGGTTCACGTCTCAGTTTTAAAGCAGTGTTTACCAAACAGGGTATGCAGACTGAAAAGGGTGATGGTGATTTTCAGTATTATCAACTTGCCCCCAAAAGTCTGGTGTGCTCCTGTCTTGTTGAAATTAAAACCTGCTACCACACCAGCTCTTTGAGGACCAGTTTGACCCCTCTGCTTTATTCAATACTCCAAACTTTTTTGCACATAAAGCTCAATAAACATGTGCCGTGTGTTTTCCTAGTTTGCATAATGAAGGCATCTACATGTTTTTTGGCGATTTTGACGACCCTATTCCTCTCATCAATCCAGTGTAGCTGTTCAATCCACATTTTAATATCTGTCTTTCCATTTTTCATTTCAACAGAGCTTTTTTGAAGGACAATCCGCCGCATGGGACTCTGCCAAGAAGGACGAAAACCGCATGAAGAATCGTTACGGCAACATCATCGCATGTGTGTACCCCTCTTATTCCTTTTATAGCACCGCTGCTTACACTCTACATAAGTTCTTGTGTCCTGTAGCTGATTTATGGTCTGCACCCGACTGTGGGAAACTATAAGCTCATCAAATAGACTTTAACAATCAGCCCACAAGAGGGGCTCTGACCTTTCCCATCCACTTCTCATCGCGGTTATGATGACACAGAATAAAATTACGTCTCATAATATGGAGCCAAGGCCCAGATCACCCTTTGCTTTGAGACAACAGCTTGTAGAAAGTTTGTAGGCAATACAAGTTCATATCTGTAGCATATTTCATGCACAAGATTAATATGTATATATATAGTGTATGTATATTAAGTCCTCAAAGCTCGTTGCTCGTAACTCAAAGTGTTACAAAAGTGTACAAAAACTGCAGGCAGGCTGAGGTGACAGGCTGGCTGGAACGTGGCGGTGCAGTGACCACGGATCTGGGAAAAAAATAACCTTCTCAGTAAAAATAGAATTGATCATAGAAACACGAGCACAAGGACACTACCGTATTAGACGGAATTATCTGGCACTGAAGAGCAGTCCAAACTGAGCTTAAGAAGCCAGGAGTAAATTAGCTGCAGGTGTGTCTGCTGCACCATCCACCCACACCCATCACCACCCGCTCTGCTGAGAAACAAAAAAAAGTGAGTGGGGAGCAACACAACCCTCACACAAGGGGCCCTTGGATCACACATGGGTCTCCCTCAGATGGCCCGCATCCAGAAACAACAGCTGATAAGGGACACGTCACACCCTCACCTGTCTCTTCTGATAAAGGCGAAAGTCTATGCCCAAACATTTGGTAATTAAGCAGTACTAGCTTTTTTATACTCTTTATACTCTTTGTTCATGCTGCACAAATGTAAAGATAATGTATATAATCTTATTCATATGATGACATAGACTAACAAATACAAATTGTGGAAGTTGAATGCGTGTTGAAGTTGAATACGTGCTGACGTTGCAACGGGCAACTTCCTGACTAGTTTCCATATTGCTTACTCACTTGAGGATGTCGAGTACATTACCCTTGCCACATCTCTAGTGCCATGTCCTTTTCCATGTGCATATCGGCCGCTCATCTGAAGCTCCCTCTTGTGTTTGACTGTCCGTGCTCTCGTTAATGTGATTAATCCAATGCCAGTTTGTTCTTTTTGTTTCCAGACGATCACTCGCGCGTCCGGCTGCAGGCTCCGGAGGGCGAACAGGGCTCCGATTACATTAATGCAAATTACGTTGATGTAAGTACGCACACCAGCCAGCACCAACAAACTAAAGGTCAGCGCGCTTCCTCTTGGGTAGAGGGAAGGCACAGTCACAGGGGGCCTGGGGGACAAAAGGCTGCCTGCTGCCTGTCCATCATAAGCTCACACAGGCAGAAGCATTGCACTGAGAAATGGGGTCTCTACATTCTGTTTAGAATTTAGCTTTTATCTAGGTTAACCCTTTAGGTCCCTAAAGGAGTTTACGTGAGCTCCCAAATCCTGTAGGCAAGGCCAGTTTATTTGTATAGCGCAATTCATACACAAAGCAAAGTGCTGAAAAGAATAAGATGAAAACAACCACACAAGGCATAAAACTCATAAATAATCACAGTACATTAAAAAGAGTTAAGATACAATTCCTCAGTTGTATGCACAGCTAAACAGAACTGTTTTTATCCTGGATTTAACTCTATGTTAACCTGGATGTACACTCTCTATACATCACCCTGGCTTCCCACAATCGTTTGACTTTCATCTGTTTCTTGTGCTTATTTCTGGTATTGATTTTAGCAATCTCCTATAACGTTTGTGTAACATTCTAACTTCTGAAAAATCTCTGCTGCCTAAAGGGTTAATACACACACTGTTTATCGATCCTCCTCCAGAACAATAAAAGCCATTTTGCGGAGATGAAAATCCGCTCACAATCAAAAATGTAAAGTATTTGTGTGCTTGTTTAGTAACTACTTAAAATTGAGGAACCTAACTTTTGAACAATGTCATACAGAATTGAAATAATGTCTGAAATAATAATAATAATAATAATCTATTCATTTTTATCCACTTCCTCTCAGTTTACTGTCACAAGTTTTTTCATACATTTGGCCTCTGTCACATCTTCAGATTAGCTTTTTCCCAGAGATAAGTAAAAACAAACATGGCCACCCTCATTGAGCTAATTAGCTCTCAATCCAAAACATCAACAGGGCTCTTTCTTAAGTAAGTAGTAAGTAAGTCATCTTTATTTATATACCGCCTTTCACAGACCAGAGTCACAAAGCGGTTTACAATTGTTATGTGTTGGGCACTTGTCCTCTCACTCCACACAGAGATGGGAGCGGGGTCGCCGAACAGGAGGCGCATGCCAGACCTATTCTACATATTTTTAGTGGTAGGGGAAACCGGAGTACCCGGAGGAAACCTACGCAGACACGGGGAGAACATGCAAACTCCACTCAGAAAGGCCCTGGTTCGACCGGGATTCGAACCCAGGACCTTCTTGCTGAGAGGCGAGAGTGCTATCCACTCAGCCTTAAGGGTATGCTAAAGATTGTAGACTTGTTTTGATGAAGACATGTTGGTCTGGTGCGTTCATAGTTGTTTACTTCTGTTAGGACAAACATCTATGTGACCCCAGCCAAAGCTCAAATGACCCAAGATGTCTTCCCATGTCTGCTTATTGGCCTAGGGTCTCGCCATGGAGACCGAAATGTTAGGGGAAGTGATACATTTCAGCCGCCTCTGATTCTCCCATTCTCACGAAGCCCTGTTCTTTTTATGGTACTACTATGGTACTACTTGTCCCATCATGTTTTTTGTATTTTTCTAAAACATGTTTTATCATTTTTAAAGGCCCAAAAATGTATAATATTTATTCCTTAAACATGCTTGTACACATTGCATGTATATGAGAATTGTAATTACTGCAATGCAATCAAAGTAAAGCCAAAGCTGAATCATGCTGTACTCTTCCCATTCATGCTGTACTCTTCCCATTCAAAAGATGGACACACAGTGGAAAGCCGGGATACTGGGCCTCCGACCGCAGCTGTAGGAGATTCTCTGGGCAGATTATGAGGACAGAGATCAGAGGCTGACAGCAGTGGGACAGGGGGAGCCAAACCTCACAGGGGAAGAGCGGAGATTCGGACGAGTCTTTGAACAACAGCCATCACAAATGAAAAAACGAGAAGAGAAAGTTTCATGGATTATTCATTAGTAGAAACAACTGAAAGGAGACCGATATACTGGGAATACAGTGTTTCCTCACGATTATCAATAACAAAGCAGTCCTTTGGGTCCAGTGGAGATTTTTTTGAATAACATTATAAGTAAAATAGATGTGATTATAAATGTGTTAACTTTTAATTATGTTTATGAATGGCATTTATCATTTCTACTAAATAATTGTGTCCAATTAACTGGAGAAGAACCAATAAACCATGCATGTAATATAGTGCATACATTTCTGGTTTAGCTCCATAACACTTATAAGTTATGGAGCTAATAAGTTTGCTACAATGTTAATGGCTGCTGATCAATTCAATTCAATGGTATTAGAGAATCAAACGGGAAATGCAATAGGGAGCGGGATCACCACTGTCCATAAATGTTAATTCTCAATTGTGGCGTACACAATTGTCCCTCTAGGTGCCATGCCAGGAGGTGCAAGCTTGACTGTGGGGGTAACTTGCTGTTTTTTGCTGTACGTACTCTAACGTGATTCCACATCCTCCATTGCCGCTCTGACCCCTGGAGCTATTGCGGCTGCGTTGTAGTGATAGACAGTGGTCCCCGCCTCCAGCGGCCTATGGAAGCCGCTTTGACAACAGCGGGATGAGCGTGCAGCCATAATGTGACCAGTGCAGACCTGTCCTGACCATTCCTTGCAGCCTATTGCATGTGCAGATCTTTGCACAACCTGTGCACACGAGAAATGTGCTACTGCAAGAAACAGAGCTGGATTATAAGAGCTTCAGGAAGTGTCCATGTCTTCCTCTGTATTCTCCTAAAGCACAACTAAAAACTCAATAAATTAAAACTGGGGTACCTACTTTTTCCCTCGCATTAATAATTCTTGTTGGTTGAGCCAAAAAGTAAAATGTGAACAAATCAAACACAACACATACCACATCAGGCAGTCTTGTTTATGTTTTTGCATACTTCAGAAAGAGCCCTTTGAGTCTTTTTTTGACTTTTTGGATGAACGAAAGTAGAATCCTCCTCTGTGTAGCGCTTTATTCTATTCCACTCTGTCAGCTTATTCTCAACGCTTATGTTTTCACCCACCTGAAACCAATCTTTATTTAAATGGGAGGCCAAACTAAAACCCAACTCTGTTACTGTCGCAGCGTCTCTGTATAAATAGGGCCTCAATGCGCAATACAAAACAAGAAAAGAATCGTCCACAGATAAAACATAGATAAAGTTATTGCAGTTAATATCTGTATATAGTAGGAGATTTTATAATAGTTAATCAGGCATCGAATTGCATCCAGATATGTGTACATTATTAAATAATCAAATATAAGCTATGCCCTTTGCTTATTGCTGTTGCCTAATGCTGTGATTATTCCCATTCATGGCCCCGTCCCCCGCTGTACACTAATATATGCAGCATTAAGTCTTAGCCTCAAGGCATCAATTTGTATTTTCACCATGAATATCATTAAGAGGCCACTTCTGCACTTCTTGGGAATTAACACAGTGACTACTTAAATAATGGTGTTTAATTTAGTCTTTACTACTTTTTGGGAACTAATTTTTAAGTGGCTGAAAAGTGAATTGTCCCAGTCTTTGCATTGGAGAATATTCAGTGCAAATAGCCATTTGTGTTGAATGTATTTATAAAAAGAAAAGCTTAATGCATACATTTCTTGAAAATCAGCCGTTCCCAAAGCACTAAGGCCCCCCTGATTGATGGAAAAATCAATTACTGTAATCCAAAGCACTGAAGTTGTTTGGTTTCAAATTTACTGTATTTCTATCAACTGAAATTAACACAATGTTGTATTATGATTATCATTTGGGAGCGACAGTGGCTCAGTTGATAGAGCATTGGCCTTTGGGACATACTCCCTCTGATGTCTGCTGTCATTGTATCCTTGGCAAAGACACTTAACCCCACTTTGCCTAAAGCCCCCGCTGAAAGATCTAGGCTTTTGTGGACTCACCTGCAGGAGGATCAGTGAGGGTCTGGTGCTACAGTATCCTCCTGAGACCCTGCGACCTCATACGAGGACATTACATTTTTGCCTCTTGGCACAATGATACTAAATTTTTTACATCCTTGACCTGATGGCCACATTTAGGGACACTGCCCGCGCCATCTTGTGGTGATATGATAGAATTACACTTAAGGCAGTAGGAAAAAAATGGTGGCAATATCAGCAAAAGACTTCTACAAGAGTTTACAGAAGAAAAATGCCCCAGGTAAAAATTCTATCAACATTTTATGAATGAAATCAATTTTTTTATGCACAATAATGTCTCTAGCTTCATATGGAGTTTGAAATTTGACAAATTTTGATTGTAGTAGCAGGCTAGGATGTCAGTAAAAGTGAAGCACTCGTTTGAGGACGCTAGGACTATGTACCGCTATCTGTTTAGCTAACCGTGTGGAAGATTTAGATGAAGTTACAGTTGTAAATAGTTATTTTGAATCACACATTTGCTTAGTTATGTGGTTTACAGTTGTAAATAGTATATTTAAGTACTAAGTGGTATATGCTAAGTATTGTTTAGTGTTGCTAAATTCTAAATCATAAACAATATAGCTAGGCTATAGCTAGCACATGATAGCCAAGCTATGAAGTGTCACTGATATACTGTAGATTTTGATGTTGGTTTTTAACATTATCATTACAGGCACACTTTCATTGTCAAGAGCAGAACAATTGCTGTTGGCAATTGCAGACAACTCTGAGATAGAGGACTTCTCAGATGGGGATGATTGTATCATCATCTCATACCTGTCAGTCATCTTCTGGTGTTTCCCACGGGGAGAGGCGGCGAGCTGGGGTGGCCATACTCATTGCCCCCCATCTCAGCCGCCATGTGTTGGAGTTCTCCCCGGTGAATGAGAGGGTCGCGTCCCTCCGCCTCCGGGTGGGACAAGTCTCCCATTGTTGTGACGGCCTACGGGCCTAACGGCAGTGCCGAGTTCCTGCCTTCTTGGAGTCCTTGGGAGGGGTACTGGACGGTGCACCTCCCGGGGACTCCGTTATTCTCCTGGGGGACTTCAACGCCCATGTGGG